TATATAAGGGGACCAACTTGGAATCAGAAGCTCACACTGTATAAATTTAACAGGTGAATCCTGCTCTCTTTGATTATCAAGAAAGTCTACGTAGGTAGAAGAGTTTCAGTGTGATGCAACTTGTTATGATAGATAATCATAGAATCACCAAGACTGGAGAAGACCCCCAAGATCATCCAGTTCAACCATCTACATACCACCAATATTTCCCCACTAAACCACATCCCTCAGCACAACATCCAAACATTTCTTGAACACCTCCAGGGACGGTGACTCCACCATCTCCCTAGGAAGCTCATTCTAGCACCTGACCACTCTTTTGGAGAAGAAATTTTTCCTAACATCCAACCCAGATCTCACCTGGAGCAACTTGAGGCCATTCCCTTTTGTCCTATTGCTAGTTACATGGGAGAAGAGGCCAACTTCCAGCTCACCACAACCTCCTTTCAGGGAGTTACAGAGAGCAGTAAGGTCTCCCCTGATCCTCCTCTTCTCCAGACTGAACAATCCCAGCTCCAGTCTTAGTCTCAGCCAGTCTTTATAAGACTCGTGCTCCAGACCCCTCAACAGCTTCGTTGCCCTTCTCTGGACACGCTCCAGAGCCTTAATGTCTTTTTTTTGTAGTGAGGGGCCCAAAACTGAGCACGCAGCACTCAAGGTGTGATCTCGCCAGGGCTGAGTACAGAGGGATGGTTATTTCCTTGCTCCTGCTGCCTACACTATTTCCTTTACAAGCCAGGATGCCATTGGCCTTCTTGGCCACCTGGGCACACTGCTGGCTCATGTTCAGCCAAGCATCAACCAACGCCCCCAGGTCTATTTCCTTCACACATAATCCATCACGCCTGGAAAATTCTCCTTTGCAAATCTAAAGGAAATTAATGATAGTTCTTCTTAACACTGCACAACAATTATTGGTTCAGTTGTTTCTAGTTATTCAGAACTGAAACATTAGCAAAGCAATTTTTTATCTATTGAATTCAAATATAATTGATGCACCAGGAAGCTCCTCCTCTGTGCTTCATTCATAGCTAATGATCTTTGCTTCCTAAAATCATCATGAAGGTTATAATGACCTTTGAGAGGAAGAACTCATGCAGAGAAGTCCCCAGTGCTCTTTAGGCTGAGGGCAACCTCAGAAGAAAGCAGGGTTAAGAGTCTGCTAGCTAGCAGGTTTTAGTTTTGATTGCCAGTTAAATAGAAAGGGCAGGACTTTAGCGTTTAGTCCACTGCTTGGTTTAAACAGCAACATGACAAGTTATGTGAAGGGGAGATGCATGTTGGAAGAGTTCACCTGGGATGTCTTGGTCCTGGGGCAAAGAATGGCAGGACAGAAAGGTCAAATATCCTGACTACATAAATGCCTCTTTGGCTGCTTAATAGAACAGCAGAGGCACTTGGCACAAAGGCAGCAGCATGCTTCAACTTCTCAGCTGGAGGAATGGCCCACAAGCACTGTCATCGTGGAGCACAGCAGATTATTAGAGGAATAAAGACAAAACTGTGCTTGATTTGCAGAGTGGAGGGGCTGGAAATCCTCGTGACCCTGTCAGGGCTTTAATGGGTCTGCCACAGAGAAGAGCTGTGTTTGAACAGTGGAGGGGTGCTGCTCCTGGGGGAAGAGTTCAAAACCACTAGCTCGGGAGCTTTAATAAAAATATTTCCCACTGTTTATTCATCAGAACTTGAAAGTAATAGCTACTGCAGAGCTCAGTGGCAAAATCTGTACGTTTATGTCATAAAACACAGACATCTCACTTCTAGAAGCTGGTAACAGCATTTGTGGAAAACGGATGAATTTGTTAAGATAACCAGTTTCTGGTATAAGCAGTCCCCATAAAGAGGGCTTAATGCTTATTTCTAATCTCCTGGAAGATTGTAGGAATGAACAAAATGAGGTTAATCACCAAGGAAAATCACCAATGAAGCAATACATCTTTTGTTAAGTATTAATTATATTTTATTTGTTCCCATCACAGAATTTACAGGGTTCTCATGAATCGAGGATTTTTTATTTACAGTACTGTTTTTTATTTATTTTATGTACTCTGAATGGATCCCCTCTCAATTGAAAGTGAATGAATTTGTTCTCTATCAGCTTTCTGCTTGAAAATAAAATCCTTCGTAAAAGATCTGGCAATCTCTGTCAGAGAAATCCGGGCAGAGTGAAACATTTGATTGTACAAGCTGTTAGAGCCTAATGAATTCTGCATCTAGACACTTGTACGTTGGTTTTTTTTTCACTTGATCCTGCAGTAGCGTAGCAGTTTACGCATTTAAATGTGCAAGACTTGTTCGGGAGGAAGATTTGTAATAAGAGAAAGCAGCGTGTTCCATCGTTTTAGTATAGCATCTGTTATTATCATTCAGTGCTGCTCTTAGCCCAGCATGCCCTTCCTCTAAATATCTTATTAATTAAACTGGCTTAGTAGGAAAATAATTAATACTTTCAGTTCTGTGCCTATATAGAAAGGATTTGGAAACTGATAAAAAGATTGCTTTCATCTAAGCTTCAAACTGGCGTGGTTTGATTTGGGTTATGGGAGGGTTGATTTTCTTTTTGCCATTCTGGATTAGAAACAGATTACAATGAAAAGTGGATGTGTGAAAGAACCTATGTATTTAGTCTGCTGAAAATTTAGATGGAGTGCTAGGTGGACTGCAAAATAATCTGTGTTTCTGAGAATTCTTGCCCTATATTTGAGTATGTTGCTCAGTAATAGTTTTGGGAAAGTTACTCCTCTGCTTCTGCATAATATCCAGGTTAGGACTCAGACCGCAGAAGTATTACTGGGTTCCTTACTGCTGCTTTTATAATGTGATGGGGATGCCTGGCCATGAAATCAGCAGTAATTGTGCTGCATAACTGCACAGCTGACTGTTCACAAGGCAAATGGGTGGGATGAAGAACGCCAGTGGGTGCCAATGGTTGTGCAAAATGACAGACACATTCATGTCCTCAGTGGTTGACTTCGATGGCTTGATCTACACAGCCCATGGGGTCTGTACCTTTTGTTGGCTATTCTTACCTGGCTGATTTGTGTATGGTATATGAAAACCCAGCATCTCGTGTGGAAATCTATCTACTTGTATATATACAACATATGGTTATACTCCTGCAGTCATGTGCTCGGATTTGTGTGTAAAGCGTGAGTCTGTTACTTTGCTATTTCTGGTGAAGTTCAGAAATAGCAGAATTTGCCTCTCTCTTTGTTTTGTGAAGAATGCTGCAGGCCTACAGACAGAAACTGCTGCTTTGCTGCTGGTTTGCTCAACTTAATTGCCCTCCGACCAACACAAGCTGAGTGCTCTACTCTGTTTGCATTCGGGGAAAATTACTGTTTCCCAGACTTACTGGAAAAGGAGTTCAGTAAGGCCAAATTAGTCTTTAAAGACAGGATTTTAATGATCTGTGTGGCGGGAGAAAGCTCAAGGATTAGCTGTAGCTTGTTTTGACTTTTTTTTTTTTTGGAGGGACTGATGGTGGCTGTTCTTAGAGAAGAAGCTTTAAATGCCATACCGGAACAAGGCTGCTTGGATGTAAGGAAAAGACAGATGGACGGCCAGTCTACAAGGCAACTCTGCAGGCTGATTGTTGGGGTGTCTATCTGTCAAAAGAAATCTCAGTTCTGCTGAAAGGCAGTGAGATGCCTAAAGCACTTCTTAAACTGGGCTGTTACGTTAAGAGCTTCAGAAATAAAACTGTGCCACACAGCGGGCCAGCGGGGCTTGTAATGTCATAATTCTGATTGATGTTGAAGCTCAGAGGGTGTGTTCAGAAGAAAGCAGGGATTTTATTAGCTACAGATTGTGTCTGCTGGCATTCTTAGTCCTGAAGAATACATGTTCAAAGCAGATTTTAAAAATGGAGAAATCTAAATTGATATTATGGAATTGAATGCTTTTTAAATCAGCGCTGCCTTGTTCGTGCTAAGCCACTCGTATCTAACAGCAAATAAATTGCAGTGAATGCAGTGTGTCAGTGTAAGCACAACTAATTCACCAAATATATTGTGTCCCTCTGGGAACAGCGAACAGCCAGCAGCGCCGGAAAAGGTTACATCCTCATGTTTTCAGGGGGCAGAGTGTTTCAGAGCCCCTTTTGCTTTAAATCTGCCTTGGGCAGACCGAAGAAGCAAAGTCCCAGTTCATCTGTGTGTGCATCTGCGCTGTGTCTGATAGGGGAGCATATGGCAGAAGCGATTCGCCCTTAACTGTGCCTCTTTTTTGGCAAGCATGAGCCTGTTTCTCAGAGAGCGCCCACAGTCGCAGCCCCTCCTGCACATCACTTCTCGTGCCCCTTGCTTGCTGCCTTTCAGCAATTTGCCTGAATCCATGTCCTTTGTGATGTTTTGGTTAATTGGACATTGTTTTAATTACTGCTGAACTAAACAAACATGAAATTTCTATCTGTCATCTTGCTGCCCCGGTGACCACAGTCTCCAAGCAGCAAATACAGGACCCAGGCTGTTGAGACCTGGTGTTAAATTACTGTCGTGGAGTGTCATTTGTTTGTACTTATTTTGAGGAAAACACCCCTCCAGGGAGAAGACTCCATTAAACAGCTCATTTTTGGCACTATACCAAATGCCTTGTTCTACTCTCATTGGAGTTAGTAGCAAATCAGCCTTGTCTTCAGGGCACCAGCAGTGCCAGTCCTCTTCCATGGCCAGAGGACAATCCATAGCCATGTCTTTCTCCATGATCTTTCACATTACCTTCTTTTTTACCTTTCCCTTGCTAGCTTTTGCATTATTTTTTTGTTCTCTCTTTGCAAGAAACATTTGGTCATGTATCCAAATTGGGAAATGGCAATTGAGACATTCCCTCAAATAAGTCAGTCTATAGACATTTCTCTCAATATCGGCCTTACTTCAAGACCAAGGAGTTTCTCTGGGCTTTTGATACACTCATTTTTCTCTGTCTGTGAGTGGAGAAAAAACATTTTGAAACATATCCTTTCTTTTCTGTTAATAATCCCCCTTCTCCTTTGCTTTCAGCTTTGGAAAGAAAGATATCAATGAGGCAAAGCAGAGAGGAGCTTATAAAGCGAGGAGTGCTAAAGGAAATTTTTGATAAAGGTAAGCGTTCTTCTTTTCACAATGTTAAATTGACATCCCATATAGTTTTATGGACAGATCTTACTTTGTCATAACATTGAGAACTGGCTGTACCATCTGGAATGGCAGAACTGTGCAGAATAAGGTCTCCAAAAATCTCTTGGTGGATCTTGCAAATAAAATTGTAAGCTAATCAGAAATGTAAAACAGTAAAATATAAATCACAACATTGTGCAGTAGTCACCTGCTGCAAAACAGCGAGGCATCCCGACTGAGAGCAGATAGAATGGGTCTGTGCATGCATTTATTATCTCTGGTTGAGTCACTGTAGGATTAATGGTTATGGAGAAGAGAAATGTTTTTAAGATTTGGGATTGTGTGATGAGCATAGAACACTTGAAACAACTCAGAATGCATAATAATAATATTTCCCCGTTCAGAATTATTCATTTGTTGAGTTGGTGATGTATTACTTATGCAAAACACCATTATTTTACACAGGTAGCATAACGAATAATTGATATCTATTACATATTTGTGTGTGTATTTAACTCCAGCTTTTGTTTGTTTGCTGCTTCTCTTGTCAGTAACTAAGGCAGTTAATTAAGCAAACTGCATTGGCGTGCCAAGGTTGCATTTTAATTTCAATTGAACTTAGGTATGTGCTTTGATGCCTCATTAATTCCAAGTCTAGAAGTGTTTAACAATACCACAACAAAACCTGGTAAAAGTCAATTGAACTTACAGAGTTTTTCTAAGTAGGATCTATCTTATAAAATCTGGATCATTTAAATCAACTTTGATCTAGCTTGGTGGGAAAGAAGAGATGATGTAAAAATGTGCAGCTTGTGATTACTTTCTATGTTTTTCATCTGTTACCTATTCTAGATGCTTTTTAATCCTTTGAGTATGCTTGAGCTCTCACTATGGCTAGCTGTCTTGAAAGTCATCCTAGATGCAAGTGCAGAGTAGAAACCACAACTGGCAAAAGATTTTCCCTTCTCGGTACCTTGGTTTTTGCACTTTCTGGACAGTGACTTGGATTGAATATGCAGCCAGGTGTCTCCGTTACCAGCAAGGCTCCCAGTTCAGCACCCTGGGGAGCTTGGAAGTCAGCTTCTTGTCATCCCTACACTCACCTAAAGGCATCCTTAATAAAATCCCTCCTGTGCAACTTGATCCTGTTCTCTGCCTTGAAACTCAGGGAAATTCTCCCTTCTCTCCTGCAAAGGGCTGCAGTAGTCTGTAATCTTCTTTGTCGCCTGGTGAAGTAGGCATTTCATGGAGGCCCTCATCATGAAAACAAAGAAAAAATCTCCTCTTTGTAGTCATTTTTCACCTTTTCATATCAGAAAGACCTAGTAGGAAATACATGCTGCCTTTTCCTATTTCCAGTACAAGATGTAGAGACATCAGACTTTTATTGTCAGATGCAACTAAATTGGAAACTGTCACCCAACACAGCTAGATATCTAATTCAGTATCTTCACCTTACTTCGTGCTGTTTGCAAACACAGAAAGCTGTGAAGTTTTCAAGGAGTCCTTCCTTGAAAGAAGCAGAGGAGAGGGGAAGATAGTTGTGTAGAAGTATAGCAATGGTGATCACATATGATGTAAGAATGTAAGTAAGGCAAAATGTGTAGAGGAAAAGTAACATTTTCTTCATTGATATAGTAGGACAAGCATGGTTCTCATAAAGGGTATTATATCTCACTGTAAACCTTAAGCAGAAATAACATTTTCCTTGGACTTTCTGATAGCTAGTCTCCAATACTTCATGGAAGCGCTGCACTTCATAGCAGAAAGCTTTATTTGATGCTTGTTTCTATGCTTTCTATGCCAAGAATCATCTTGCACAGACAACAGGAGGAACCATAATGCTAAATCTCTGCCTTTCCAAAGAGGAGACCAAAGCTGAGGAGTGATTATTTTGCCTTTTTCTTAAACAGATTAAAGGAAACTATACAGATAGACTGACATAAGAACAGAAATTCCGAAACTGCAGTGCACTTAGTGTTATTTTATCATCTATGCTGAAGAAAACCAGAATTAGACAGACAGTTTGTTCTCCTGTTGTTTAGAGTGACACTCTGACCAGTTTGCTTTGGGATTTGCTGGCTTTTCAGGTGACTGCCATCCAGCAGCGGAGAGCTAACAGAGCACAGTAAGTCACAGTGTTCACACATAGGAGAGTCACTGCATTCCAGCTGCTATTTTTGGGAAACAATAAATGATTTTATTATTTCGGTGACCCTCGCATGTAATTGTTCAAGTGAAACCACGCTAGACTGAAGTGCAGGGAGCTCATTTCTTGGCAAGGTCCAGACTCGTGCCCAAATAACTTTTCATTCTTTTATAGGTTCTGTAACTTGAATCTTCCGAAAATGTAGGCAAAGTCTGCTTCTATTTCAAATACAGTGTACTTTTAGAAAAACTGTACACTGAAGAAGTACCTGATTAGATGCCTTCTGTTCTAATAGTTTGTGGACTGGCAGAGTCAAGAGCTCAAACACAAAGATGAATAGCTTTGATTTTAACATCAAACTGTAGCCATTTCAAAAGCGACTGTCTTTAGAGTTGCCTGATGTGCTACAACACCAGTCAAAGAATTAAACGTAATGGTAGTATTTTGATACCTCTTCTTTAATCTGAACATAAACAAGTATTCCTGTAGTGAGAAATTTCTGAATGTGTATACTGATCGTTTGCTTCAGAGATAATAATGCAGTGATTCCTCGTGGGCAATCTTCATCTTCGCATTTTTTTACTATCCATCTGAACAAAATGAGGTTTTAAAACCCATATTTCAAATCACCTATATCCTGTCAGGATTTGAAAATGTTCTGTGAATGATAAACCACGAGCAACAGAGCTCAGTGTTGCATCGCCTCGACATGGATGTGCCCCACCTTTCCTACCCTTCACCATCAAGAATAATTTCCTAGCCGTTCTTACTTGAAAGCAGGCCAGTACTGAAGACGACGACTAAAAATGGAAAGTAACATGGGATGTAGAATTCTCTGTATCATTTTCACTTCCTTAGTCATTTATCTGTGGAAGGAGCTCATGAGCTTGACATTTTTCAGTCATATGAGAAGTTCTCTATGCTAAGGTGTTCAGAATCAAAAGATATGGTGACAAGGCAGGCAGAGCTCCAAAGAAATGAAACAACAGAAAGACTGGTCTGTACCAGCTAGGCACTGTCCACATGCAAATTGGGGTGCTTCACACTAAGTTATTTTCAAGAAGTACCCAAAAGTGAATCTGGTGAATGAGTTCCTGAGTACAAACCATGCTTAATCACAGAATCACAGAATCGTAAAGGCTGGAAAAAACCTCCCTTCATCTCATCCACTAAGCTATGCCACATCTACATGTTTCTTGAACATCTTGATTACTCATTCTGAAAGTAATTTTTTTTCCTAGTATTCAACCTGAACCTCCACAACACAGTTTGAGGTTGTTCCCTCTCATCCTATCTCTAGATACCTGACAGAAGAAGTCAACCTCCACCTCTCTACAATCTTCTTTCAGGTCGCTGTATAGAGTCTATAAGGTCTTTCCTGAGCCTCCTCTTCTCCAGACTAATCAATCCCAGTTCCCTGAGCTATTCCTTATAAGACTTGTGTTCCAGACCCTTCTCAGCTTCACTGCCCTTCTGTGGGCACACTGCAGGGCCTCTTGTAGTGAGGGGCTCAGTACTGAACAGAGATCAAGGTGCAGCCTCACCAGTGCTGAGTACAGGAGGACAATTTCTTCACTAGTGCTATTGGTATTACTGACCATTACTGACTGGTGCTACTGTATTATTGATACAAATCAGAGTGCTGTTGGTCTTCTTGGCCAAGATGATCTGCTCCATAACCTTCCCCGATACCATGGTCAGGTTGACAGGCCTGTCATTCCCCAGATCCTCCTTATGACCCTTCATGAAAATGGGAGCCACATTGACAGTTCTCCAGTCATTTGAGAGCTTCCCAGTTGATGAGGTCTGTTGATAGATGATGAAATGTTGTTTGTCAAGCGCTTTTGCCAGCTCCATCAGTACCCTGGAATAGATTCCATCTGGCCTCATGAACTTGTGATAGTCTTAAGAATTACACCGAGCTGAGAGTTCAAACCCTCATCCTTCAGTAGATAAGACTGGTGCTGGGTGAGCAGTCTAGCTGCTAGGCCAAACAAGTTCCCAGGGTCCACCTCTTTTAAACATATCATCTCCATATTTCTGAGCCTTCATCCTATATTGTTCTTTTCATATGCAAAGGTGAACCAACAAGTCTGGGTAGAGTTTTCTGCGTCGGAGAATTTTCTCTGAGGTTCTGCTTCTTCCACAGCAGGAAGCAGGATCAGCAGGGCAGCATCCTTCACGTGCTCATTTTGCTGCAGAATTCATGTTGTTCATTTTGGTCCCTTCCAGATCAAACTGACTCGTACTCCACCTGCTTTATCAAAAAGCCTCATGCATTTAGGGAAAGTCTTTTTCCAGTTAGAAACAGCAGGCTCTGAGAAAATACAGCAAAGGATTTAGCAAGCATGAGAACAAAAGATTATGTTATCAATGTGCAAAATTAACTTTAAACTCAGCCACTTCCTTAAGACTAATTGATTCATCCTTATATATCATAATTGCATTACTAGAATTCTTTTCATTTGTATGTCAGCTAACTAAAATAGCTTCTAGTGCTTTAAAAATAGCAATTAATTTGCCTTTTATATCTGATTGTCAAGCATGCCTCTGATCCAGGATTAATTCACACTGAGAGATTCTTCACTCTAAAAATGATGATTTTATCTGTGTTTGATCTGTTTTCTGTGTTTTAGCAGCTCCCTTTGTAGCTTTAAGCAAGCTCAAAGTTAGGGTATATGTTTCAGTCATGATTCTGTGTCATGTCTGATCTTTTCAGTGAAATCTGAGGATGATTTTTAGAGTCTAGATGAAGATTAGAGATATATGGAGGGAAGATTAAAATAGGTTATGCTGTAAGTACAGAGAAGTGTCATGCTTGTTATTATGTTGAAAACTGAAAGTCAAAACTTTATCTCATATTTTGCTTTTTCTCAGTCATCCTGAATATACCTTGAGAAGTGCAAAGTGTATTTAAGTCTGTAAGATCAACATGTTACAATTGGCATCTCGCTTCATTAAAATATGTAGATATCCTTTAAGAAAATATCTTTCTCTTAGGTAAGAATAATGGTTAAATTTAGTCCTGTGCTGAACTTAGTAAATACTGCTGGATATAGTCACTGTCTTTGGTTCAAAAAGCAGTTATTCTGCTCAGTAAATAGTTATGATCTTTCATGAAACCATGCATCTGAGATAACAGCAGCCTTTATCCTGAACACCGTGAAGGGGCATGTTTATAAAAGAGAGACAAATCAAGAACAGGATATGTAGTATTTCCACTGAAACAGCTAAGTCAAAAAAACATTCAGCTTAAATGTTGGCTGAACTGTTGTTTGATCTTTGCTGTCTAGGGAAATAAAATGGTTTGTATCAAATGACCGAAGCACCTACAGTGAAGCTGTGCTGTGAACAGCTGGCTGAAACCTTCAGTTTTGATTAATGTTGCCACCTTTTGCCAGCTCAGTTGTTTGCTCTGAAAGCTACAGGTAGAGTTTCAGTCTGCTATGATGTAACAGTACGCAGTAAAAACTCTAGTTCTTCAAAAAGATAACCAAGAATGTCAAGACCTTGCTGTTCCTAACAATACCAAAATAAACAATAGATCATCTTTACATGCTGTACAGAAACTTTACAAGTCAGAAAATAATCTGATTTCTTTCCAGACTTGTTAATTGCAGTGTCTTGACATCTAAGTGTAACTTAACATTTTTTTTTATCTCTTCAGTGTTTTTTTCCAAAACATTATGCACATCTTATCCCTGTGAGGGGAAAATGTGTGCTCACTTGAATGATACACATCTCTGTTTGGTACAGTGAGCAGTAATTAGGCTAGTCACAGTTGCCCCAAAATCAAGAACTAGATCTGGGTATTCTGAATTTGATTTAAAAAAATGATAATTTGAATGTGTGGTAACACTAGGCTCTCTTTATCTGCCTGCTGGGCTTTCTGCTTTACAGGTCACATTCTGGTTATATTTTCAGGCTCCCACTCATAATGGCAGAACACTTCATAAAATTGTAATTGAGATGTCGGTGTAGTCTTTGCCTCTAGGTAGCAGAGGGCTGTGCATAACAAGTTCTGATATAAAAATCATGTGGGTTGATGCTGTGGAGAATGAGTTGATCCCACCCTTCTGTTCTATATTATTTCTAATGTGAAGTGGTATTTGATAGGAAAAAAAGTAACAATTGCTGATCCAGAAATGTTTGCTCAAATGGGTAAGTTATTAATAACGACTTAAAAAAAAAGACTTCTAAAATGTAATCTGCTTTATCTGAATATCAAGACCTTCACCTGGCAACTATAGAAATTTTTCTTTCCCTTACTTATACTCTTGGTCGTGCTGGAAGACTACAGTAGTTTTTTATTAGTATATAAAACAGTGGCATACGTCTGTGATTTTGTTTGTGCCCTTATAGTGTAAAAAATGGTGGAAGGGAATAATATTTGTTATTATCATTAAAATATAAATCATGTATTGCTGTGTTTGTTTTTTTTAAAGAAAAAAGCTTGATAGCTTCAGTTCCAGCCCATTCTCATTTCTCAGTTCACAGCTTAAGTGGAGACAGAGGGAAAAACAGATTTTATCACTCTATCAGATGAAAGGTGACTGAGAGCCATCCAGCTTAGACCACATATCATAATACATAATTCATACATCACATATCATATCACATAACAACCCTGTCAGGCAAATGAAATGCTGTCACACTTCTGTGAAACAGTTACAGACAGAACATCAGTCAGATATATTCAAAAATTATTCAACATAAGTTATATTTTTGAGATCCAAACCATATTGTTTTGATTGTTATCCCTGTCTTCTACATACATACAATGGCTTAGTTCAGGTTTCTCACTCACAAACAATATGTTACTGTTAGCAGGATTCACTTTAAATTATTCTGCATCTCATTTATGTTTATTATTCTTCTGTTATCATTTTGCTTTCTTCCAAATATTAACAGATGGAGAGCTCTCCATACCAAATGAAGAAGGAGCTTTGGAGAATGGGCAGCCTCTGGGCTCTGGACAAGTGCTGAGCTCCAGCCAGGTATCCCTGCCAGCCCTAGCAGAACTGGAGTCAGGCTCAGCACCTGGGGAACCCTGCTCTTACGAGGTGCTCCCAACCACAGAGATCATGGATGGGACAGGTAACATCTTGTTTTCATCATGCCATAGCTACTTTAAGCTGTTTGAAACAAGTTTTTGACCTCTAACTTTTGGTGTGTAGTCTCAAGAAGACCTTGCTGAAGACCAAGGTCTTCTGGTGGAGAAGGAGATAACAGCAAATGGATTATCACTGAATGCTCCATAAAAAAATTTCTGCTCTCTCAGCATAGCAGTATCTACTGCTTCTGCACAAGTAAGGTCTGCAAGTAAAGCAAAGTCTCTGCATTTTGTCAACTTGTAGCTGTGGATTTTTCTCCTGCTACTTCTCAGGTGTGGCAATGAGCTCAAGGGGTCTGACAATATTTTTAACCCTGGGGTATGTCTTGTCCTTTTCTCGCAGTGTGGTGTTGGGTGACATTTACATCATACAACTTTCAGTAATTAGCAGCCAGCTGTGCTGCTGATGAGGCTATCTAAGCTTCATCCTCAATCTATAAAGAGAGACAACAGTGTGTACATCTAAGTTAACCCCTCATTCTGTGTAGCACTGAGAGTTGTGGATGAAGGTCAGGTGAGGAAAAGTGACTAGCAGAAGTGCCCATCTGTGACCGGGCGAACTACGCGACCTCTTTGAAATGGAATAGCTCTTGTGAGGTGCTTTTACGGTTATAGTATAAATCTAAGGACCACCTGCTAACATATAAGGTCCTGAGCAAGCTGTCGTGACAGAACATCCAGGATGTGATGTTTGAAACATTTGTATTCAACACGTGGGAATACGTCCCAGGCTGGCGTAAGGGAGCTGACTTCTGTCAGAGGTAATGGGAAATTCAGCCGTTGTGTAGATGTGTGTTACTCTTTCTCTTTTTCTTTCTTTCCTTCCTTTCTGTGTTACACGATGTTTGAGTGAAATCTTCTAGTCAACCTGCATTCTTGCTCTGCTTTTCACGTTCTACAATGGCTGTATCCGCTACTGCTTTGCTCGTAACGTTGTTGCGTCTATGATGTGGTTGTGTCCTCCAGTGTCTGAAGAGAGCCCCACATCCAATGAATCTGGAGTCCTCCTGTCCCAAGATCCTACAGCTAAGCCAGTCCTGCTACTTCCCCCCAAAAAATCTGCTGCTTTCCCTGGAGACCATGAGGACACCCCAGTGAAACAGTTGTCCCTCCTCAAACAGCCCCCTGCCCTGCCTCCTAAACCTATTGCCAGGATTGCCAGCCACTTAACTGGTAAGTTGGTGTTCCTAGATCCTCAGCACCACCATTTCCCTTATAGGAAAAGCCTGCCCTTATAGCAAGGTGCTCTGTGTCCTTCTGTAAAGATGTTTGCCCATGTTGTTGTGTGTACTGGTAACATATGTGTGTTGTACCTAGGGCAGGTATCACAAAGCATTTTCAGGCTGCACCATCATCAGGGTTGCTTCAGGACTCTCTCCCTCTCAGACATAATTACCTAATGCTGGCATAGCATTTCCCTCACTGTTTTTTATCAAGATGTACCATTGCCACAAAAATTACAGAATGTGCATTGATGGGAAAGGAAATACCAGGAAAACACTAGACATCTTTAAATGCCTGTAATCATAAAGGACAATGGGGTTGAGAGGAGAGGGAGAATTTTGCTTTCTGCTATTGCTCTTTGTCACTTCTCCCCTCAACCACCATCTGGACAGGTCCCACTGCACACACCCTACATTTTTCCCTGTTTCTCTTTCACTTGCCCCCCTGTCCTTACACAGGCTGTACTATCCCACGGCTTCTTGCCATTTTAACTCCCTGCTCACACTTCCTGCCACCTGCTTCCTCTGGACTCCACTCTCTTGTCTGTCATTTAGGCCACTGAAACAAAGAATTATTTCATTTACTCAGAACAAAAAAGGTTCCCTAAGTCCTTGCTTGCATCTTTTGAACAGTCTGCTCATAGTTTCAGCCACTTCCCAGGATGTAGCGCCTTGAAATCCCAAGGTCAAGACGAGATGTGGTTCATCTCTGTTGTGGGGCAGCTCCTGGTGTTCTCACTGGGTTGCTCTTCTGGTGTTAATGCTACTCCAGCCTTTTCAGGGCTAATGTGAAAAATGTTCAGTCTTCATTAATATATTCAAGTTACTATTTTTTCCTGGAAGTTAATGCTTGTTTTATGTAGGTTAAGAAAAATATCAGAAAAGAGCTCATTAGGGAAGAACATGTTCTGGTTTTCTCTCATAACTGTATGTGGTCTCTTCATGTTCCTGTTTGGATGGCTACACATTTTTGTTCAGTATAGTTTTGTTCATTTTATGTGGAATCTCTTTGCTTTCTTGCCTGCCAAAATCTACACATAATTGCCTTACACTACAAACCAAATGGGCATTTCTGCAGCCTGGAAAGCCAGGTAGCAGTATTAATGGCTTCAGGTGAGGAAAGTGACAGCTTCCTATTACCTTCCATTTCATTCTAATTACAAAAAGTGGCTCAAAAATGAGGCCAACATGAAGACAATATTTAAAAATAATAAAAATAAGAAAGGAATAGTGTAGGTAAAAAAAAACTAAGGTGTAGGGAAAGCCTCTGGTACTAAGTACCCATCATTCATAAGCCTTCCTTTCATGGAAGATAGCAGAAGAATTGCACCATGGTTGCTTCTGATGGTTTGGGGTTTTTTTGCAGCTGGAAATTTTGTGTGAAGTTGAATTGGTCTCAAGCATAAATCAATTGCTTGATGGTGACGACTTTCCAATTAAAGTGAAATATAACTGTGACTTCTCTTAGTTCTTGGTAGCCTTTACTCATCTCTCATTCGATCATAACTGATCTCTTGTATGTGCATATGGACAGACTCTTGTACATGCAGGAGAAAAGAGCTGAGATTTAGATTTGGTTAAGGTATTCCTGCTAGAACAGAAAGCCTCATTTGTACACACTTTATAAATAAAATCATTAAGCTTTTTCTTAAGGATCCATTGACATTCATGGTCTAAGGATGTGTATGTTCAGCTCCTTGTGTTCTCCAGTGGTAATCATATTAGCCATGTATAGTTGTTGGAAATGAGCAGTCAATCCTAATGAAGCACTCTCATCAGTGAGAAGCAGAATGAAGGCTATTCTTTTACTAATAACCCTAGAGACATCCTCAGCTTGTGTATGGGAAAACAGGTAAAATCTGAATCCTGGCACTCAAGGTGAAGATTATTCTCATTACACACTCATTTCTCTACTAAATATTTTTTGAGAATATTGAAGGAAAGATTAAGAGATTCTGAGCATGACTAGTAGGAAGGAACAGTGGTTAATGGCCTGTTAGTTATCTCTGTTCAACAAGACTGCAAGGGAAAATGTGATCTTGTGATGGAACACATTTCAGTCAGAAGTTACAGAAATGCCTCAACTTCAGTCTTAACATGTTTGTATGTATGTATGCAAAATGTATATATGCATAACTATTTAATGTAAATGTGTTTTTTACAAATGTAAATGAGAACATGATATTATAAAATCACTAAAGGTATAAAATCAGTAAAACGATGTCCCTTTGGGGTCAGATCTGGGACCAATGCACTTTAACTTCTTCATCAATGACAGTGACATCTGAAGGTTTGCAAATGACACCAAGATGTGTGGTGTGGTCAACATGCCTGAGGGACAGGTTGCTATTCAGAGAGACCCAGACAGGTCTGAGCAATGGGCCCAGGTCTGAGCAATGGGCCCAGGCTCATGAAACCCAAATGCAAGGTCTTGCACCTGGTTTGCAGCAGCCCCCAATATCAGTACAGGAGAGATGTGGACCTGCTGAAGTGCATCCAGAGGAAGACCACAAAAATGATTGAATGGGTGGAACACCTCTCCTGGTGAGAGAGCTGGGGCTGTTCAGCTCAGAGAGGAGAAGGCTCTGGGGAGACCTGAGAGCAGCATTTCAGTATCTAAATGGGGGACTGTATGAAAGAAGGGGACAGACTTTATAGCAGAGTCTGTTGTGACTTAGGGAAATGGATTCAAACTAAAAGAGGGGAGATTTAGACTGGATATAAGGAAGGTTTTTACAATAAAAGGGTAGAGAAGCATTAGAGCAGGTTGCCCAGAGGGATGGTGGATGCCCTGTCCCTGGAGACATTCAAGGTCAGGATGGATGGGACTCGGAACAACCTAAGGTAGGTATAGGTGTCCCTACAGTGTTCATTGCAAGGGAGTTGGACTTTAAGGGGTCCTTTCCCAACTCAAAAATTCTATGATTCTATAGTAAGGACAAAAAAAAAAAAGAATGAATAAACACAGAACACAGAACTTGAGGAAATAAGAGTTTCCTTTGTGTCTGATATACTTCTTGCTGAGAACTTGCCCCAGAGTTTTTCAGTAATGATATGAAGACTGACTTGCAGGGTTTGACAAATAATGTAATACAGGTTTTAGAAATGTCAAAGAAACAATCTTCGCCTCTGGAAGCATGTGCTAATACAAAGATCGGTCTTTTCCATGATAAGAAATGCACATAAAAGAGCAGGCCTAAAATAATCATGTAAAAGCACATACGATTTTGTGGAAAATAAAAATGAATAATTGGTTTTTAAAATGACAGGAAGATGATTGCCTGTAGCACATATAAATCACGCAGCCATGGCATGACTCTTCTCAAGGCCCAAATGCCTTAAGAAGGGGATGAAATCATGTGGGAATGGAGACAGGGCTGTAGAGCAGTCACTGGCAGGGGTGCCTCTGCTGCTGCAGAAGGGTGCCTTGTACTTTTCTCCACCCCATCTCCCAATGCTCTTGGTAATGCTGCATCAGCACAGAACATCCCGTCACGGGTGTGGAAATGCCATCATAGCATCTCTTTACTTTTTACACTGTTGGAACAAAGCAGCATGCCTCTCTTAAGCATTATTTGATTCCTTCCTAGCACAAGATGGGCAGATCTAGGAGAAAAATGCAATTCTTAATTGTTTTGATACCGTCGATCCACTGCTCTGCATTTCCTGTTGGCCAGTTACCTCCTAGTGAGCTCCTGCTGGCTTTCAAATATGATCAGTATTAGAGGAACTTCATGGGCAGAATTTCTTTCAATTTTCATTTTCCAATATCCACATGCAGTGCTCAGGCATTGAGGACAACGCTTCAGCCCCCTCATTTCATTGAAGATTAAGGAAGAACTGAAATCATCACCTGGGACCAAATTTAACTGAACTGCTGGGATTGAGTCCCTACATTATCATAAAACTTTTAATGTCTAAACATCTTTTTTGTAATTATGACACACTTATTACTTAACCATGTACAGTTCTGAGTGGTCACAACCCTATTGGGAACCGACATCTTGCAAAATTTCTCATTACTGTGAGCATGAAGAATCTAATCCAGAGGAGATTAATCAGGCTTGCACACCTGGCTTCACACAGTTGGCTTCTCTTCTGTCACGTTAGCGTTTTGTGCAATGATTTAAAACTCTAGTAATCTTCTTCTGAGAAGACAGTTATCACAGATTCCTTGCTCATATTTCTCCTACCCAGCTACTTATTTATCTACAAATGTCAATGTCTGATGGATATTCCACGCTGGAGACAATAAGCATTTTTATCTCTGCTTCATACATCACAAATATTGTGAAATTAATAAAAGAAAGAACTGTAAAATGGAGGCTTTTAGGCACAATGGACAAGTCATTCTGTCCTTTAATCCACAATGGTAGTTCCATGCCTGGAACCCATGGATTTGAGTGAAGTCCCATTTGTTCAGAACACTTGCTAACCAGTCCACTCTGTTTAATTTTCAGTGCAGGGCTTGTCACCATTACTGATGACAGTGAAGACATATTGATACATTTCTGTGTGAATGGATCAAACTTTCCTTCTGTTGCAGTCATTCTTCTTTTAGCCTTTATTTTTTTTAACAGGCACATATAATTCTCCTGAAGGTAGACAGTAGACGAGTGGATTTAATGCCACTGGTTCACTTTCAAGGCTGCATTTAGACATTAGCAGCCCAAAATGCTAACCATACCCTGGGATGCATCAGGCTCAGCACTGCCAAATGGGCGAGAGAAGGTGCTCTATGCTGTGTGGCTTCACCTCAAGCACTGGGGGCAGCTGTGGGTGCCGCAGTATGAGAGGGACAGAAAACTATTATAGAGTCCATATAAGAGCTACGAAGATGGGGAAGGGTTTAGAGGCCAAGGCGTATAAGGAAGAGCTGAAGTATTTTGGTTCATTCAGCCCAGAGCAGAGGAGGCTGAGGGGAAGCAAGAGATACCTGCAGTTGGAATCTCTTTTGAATTCACTCTGTATATCACATAAAAAAATAATAGTGTATCATGGCACGGACACTATCAGGTGAAAATGTTAATTGAGCATATACAGCAGAAACGAATACAAAACTAACAGACAGATCTGCACTTTTCAGTGTGAAAATGAAGATCTTAGGGTAATTTTTGTAATTCAGGACCAGCTCCCGAGGTGAAATTGCCTGGAGCACAAATGTATGAACACATTTTGTTACTACAAACCCCATAGGAGCCTTATGCTCTCAGGGCTCTACGTAATTTACTCCTTTTTCTTATTTATCTTCTATTGAAAATGTGTTCTTTTATGGAGAATACAAAGAAAAGATATACACAACTAATGTGTATGTAAGTAAAACACTGTAACTTGGAGACCTGCTTGTGCTTGCAAAGAAAATCTTGAAAGTCTTTTTTTTTCCTACTATACAGTAGACAATCTGCTTTAATGGAGAGGACAGTGCCCTGTCATTTGGCAGTCCCCTGAGTTAGATTTCAGCCTTGATGGAGCCATCAGAATTTTTGCCTTCAAGAGAGGCAACATTGAGCAGACGTCTGTCAGGTGAAGTTTTGTGGCAGAGTCTTGGTGACTGGAAAAAGGGAAATATCACTCCCATATTCAAGAAAGGGAGAAAGGAAGACCCGGGAAACTAAAGGCCAATGGAGCAGATCTTCCTGGAAAAGATGTTAAGACATATGTGAGATGTGGAGGTGATCTGAGACAGCCAACTTGGCTTCACCGGGGCAGATTGTGCCTGACCAGTCCAATGGCCTTTTTTTGTAGTGATGGCATCTGTGGAGAAAGGAAGGGCAACTGATGTCACCTACCTGGACTTGTGCAAGGCCTTTGACATAGTTCCACACCACATCATCATCTCTGAATTAGAGAGATATGGATTTGAAGGTTGGACTGTTTGGTGGATAAAGATATAATTGGATGGTCATAGGTAGAGTGTTATTTCCAGGTGGAGGCCAGTCACAAGAGGTGTCCCCCAGGGGTCCATCCTGGGACCAGTGCTCGTCAATGTCTTTATCAGTGACATAAACAGTGGGTTTGAGTGTACCCTTCACGAGTTTGCTGATGACACCAAGCTGAGTGCTGCAGTTGACGCAACAGAAAGGCGGGATGCCATCCAGAAGGATCTGGACATACTCAAAAAGTGGGCACATGAGAATCTAATGAGGTTTAACAAGGCTAAGTACAAGATGTTGCACTTGGATTGAGGCAATCCCAAATAAAGAATACAGAATGGGAGAAGAACTCACTGAGAACAGCTGTGTGGAGAAGGACTTAGGGGTTCTGATGAATGAAGAGCTGGACATGAGCCAGCAGTCTGCCAGCACTTCCAGCCCAGAAGACCAACAGTATCCTGGGCTGCACTGAAACAGGAGTAGCCAGCAGGGAGAAGGAAGCGTTTTGTCTCCCTCTACTCTGTGCTTATGAGGACCCATTTGGAGAACTGTGTCCACGCCTGGGGTGGAAGGAATGTGGAGCTGTAAGAGTGGGTTCAGAGCAGGGCCACAAAGATGACTGAAGGGCTGGAGTATCTCTCTTATGAAGAAAGATTGAGGGAGTTGGGCTTGTTTAGCTTGGTGTAGAGAAGGCTCTGGGGAGATCTCAGTGGAGTTGGAACCGAGTAATCTTTAAGGTCCCCTCCAACCTCAGCCATTCTATGATTCTGTGATATGATATTGCACTGAAAAAAGAAAGACTTGGGTTCTCACATCTGTAACTGTCCTGCTCTACAATTTGGAAAGACCACTATCTGTCCATGCCTCTGTTTCATCTTTGCACACCCTTTTCCTCCCTGGTCTCTTGAAGAAAGGGAAGGCTTGCTGTTTGTGTGGGCTTTTTTGTTCTAGAGTAACATCAGTATCAGAAAGTCCAATACCATGAATGAGCTTGGCATTATGCATGGTCTTCTTCCACCTTACTGCCCTTAAGCATTTTCAAGAAGCATTAGATCTTACAAGTCTTGGTATTGACCTTGTGCACCCTGACTAGTAGATATGGATACTAGTACAAGTACTAGTACAAGTATTAGTACTTATGGACAGGATAGTCCATAAGGAGGGAAGGATAAAGAGATCAGGGAGAAGGGTAGTTAACACTAAAAAGAACCATCTGGAAAATGACTTTAAATATCAGGTATTACTCAGGAGAGTGATGTCATTTGAAACTAGAGGAAGCGGCATCTTACTGCCAAGCTTTCTTGGGCCATAAGAAGATTCTGACCCTTCAATTCCTTTACCATTTTACACCAAGAATGTGAACTGAAGCTACAGGAATCCAGAGAGCATGCAGAGCATTGCAGAGCCGAATGTCTGGGGTGGGATTCCATGCTATGTAGGGCTTGGCCTTGCAGCTCACAATATATATATATTTACTATCATTTTCTTTGCTGCTAGCATATTGTGTGATCATTCCCCACACACATTTTGGAAACTCCAAGCCCTCCCATTACCTGTTCTCCTTTTTGAAACCCTTTCACTGTGCAGCTCCAAAAATCTGCATCCTGCAGCCTAGTCCAGGCAGAGATGTTTGTTTATGGACCTCCCACTGACTTTCCATGGAAACCAGGGGAGTCTTTGCTTGACAGAACAACTATGTTATTCAAGTGTACGCCTGGAGTTAAAAAAGTTAAGATTAGAAAAGTGTCTGCCAAGTCTTCTGTAAAATAATGTGTTAATTCTAACTATCTTCCACCCTTTACCATCTTCTCCTCCCGTATCCTTTATTTTTTCCAGTTTACTCCTATTTAACATTCAAATCCTGTCTCATTTCTCTTTTGCCCTTTAACGTAATTTTTGACACCAGATTTTTTGCACCTTACAAAGCTGTAAGAGAGGTGACTTGTAGTAATTGCACTGCAGTAGCTGAGAAGGGTCAGATATGCCTGAGCTTTCACTCCAGCAGGGATGGTGATGAGTCATCCCCTAACTTCAGACTCCAAACTGCTTTCTGTGTTTAAGTGCCTGTTGAGTAGGAGAGGTTGTGCTTACTTCTCAGGGCTGGTTTGAGGGGTTAGTGCTTTAAGGTGTTGAAGTGTGCCACAAGCCTTGTTAAGCATTGCTTACTTTGTTTCTTTAGAGGCATGTACAACTTTGGGATGTTTTTCTGAGACTGAGATCTGCTGCAAACCAACCGGTCTTTAAAAACAGTGCTGAATGAAAGCTATGCAGAGCTGTCTGTCACACGGGGGAGGGGAAGCACACACCTGCACTGATTAGCAAACTCAGTACCTGCTCACTCTGGCACTGCCATGAAAATTAACACCAGGGCCTCTTTTTCTTCTGTTCTAGATCCTGGCGCTCCTGTGAAACTGCCTTGTATGCCAGTTAAACTGTCACCTCCACTACCTCCAAAGAAAGTCATGATTTGCATGCCTTTAGGGGGGCCAGACCTCTCCTCTCTCTCATCCTATTCCACGCAGAAGAGCTCCCAGCAGCCTTTGACTCAGCACCATCACACTGTCCTGCCATCCCAGTTAGCAGCTCACCAGCACCAGCTCCAGTATGGCAGCCACAGCCAGCACCTGCCTTCTGGATCCAGCACGTTGCCCATACACCCTTCAGGGTGCCGGATGATAGAGGAACTGAACAAAACACTAGCCATGACCATGCAAAGACTAGAAAGGTAATGGATCAACTTTTAAAATTATGTATTAATGTGCACTGTTTTCCTCCTAGCCTCTGTCAATGTTAATATTAACATCGGAGTCATACTGACAGTACTGGAATCAAGCCCCTTGTCTGGGGATCAAGCACTTTCAGAGCAGAGTCATTGTTGGAGAAAGAGAGACAAGCTTTTCCAGGCTTGTTATAAAACTGCGTGGCAGAAAGGTGAAAAAGACCAAATTTCCTGAGCCCTTGTCCTGTCCTTGCTAGCTTACATGCTAGTGTAGAGAAGGCTAAGAGAACGTGTCTGGTTTGCAGTATATACTGTAGAGTATATAACTGCACAGCTCCAGTTATGTGGAGGATTGCTTAAAAAACAAAAAAATAATAAGTAAAGGAAATGAAAGATTCAGAAAAGAGCATTAAAACCAAACGTGCCACTCAACCAGGACATCTGATTAGCGTTACCAATTAGCTCAAAACAACCTATGAGAACTTTGTACAAGTCACTTAGCAGGGCTATTATAAATAAATACACTATTTAAATTATTTCAATTACTTTAAATTAAGTATTTAACCCTTTCCACAGCAGCTCCCTTCTTATGCATTTGCATCTGGAAGAAGGTTGTACATTTAATCAGAAGTGCCTTACCCACGTTGGGGCTGTTTTTCATTACTGTCACTTGTGAGCATCTCTGAATGCTGTTTCAAGTGGTCTGAATAAGTGAAGCATGTTGCATAAATGCAAGCTGTCCTCACAGACTACTAGATCAGCAAGCTTTGGAAAAATTATTTTGACTTTCAGATGAAAATTGAGCAAGTTGCAGAATAGAGAAGATAGTCCAAAAATGATGTTCTTTTTAGTTACAAGGGCAGCTTTGTAACCAGCTTGTTCTAGGCACATCAGATCATCCTTCTGTTGTAAAGGAAGCTAAAATATTTGGTCTAACGGACAAAATGCCTAATGACTTGCCCCAGTATCTCTTTGTGATAACATTACCTTCATTATATTGCACAGTTAAAAGGATTTCTATTAGATATGGCAGATTCTACTTGCTGCCACTAAAAATAGTCAGAGGAACAGAGGCTGTCCTCCTCTGTCAGCTTATTTCACTTCCAGGATACTGAGATCTCTGCAGTTAGATCAAGGGGGCTAATACTTATGCAGCCTGACAAAATTCTCTGCTGGGGGAAATCTATAAGGACAGTGATGGAGATTCCTGTTCCCATCAATAAAAGAACTGTAGCAGAAGGATTAGAAAGAGCATTCACAATCCATCCTGTGCCCAGTGACCACCTAGTTACCTCTCACATTGCTAGCAGGGCTCGTCAGATGCATATGCATCAGCCCAGAGCCTGGTGCACAGAGTGCAGAGGATGGCAGTGTCTCCCAGAGGCTCCTTTGTGGCAGCACTGCTAATGCCATCCCCAGCACAGGTTGGATATTGACCTTACAGTCTGGCTCACATTGTGTGCAAAAGGCACAGTGAAATCTCTCAGTGTATGACTTCACTCTGGCATCTGTTGCCCCACAGCAACAAAAGCTCCAATTTTCAAGTTTACTTCTGCAAGTATGCTTAACTGATTTAAAGAAGGTTATGCTGTTTGGTTTTAACTATTAATTTAAATTCAAAGCTGTGCTGCTTGTTAATAATGTAATAAGCGAGGATTCATGCCTTAATATGATGCAGTTGCATCCCTCTGCAGAAGAGAGTAAGAAAGGTTGTGGCACTGATATTTCACATTAAAAATTAAAATGAATCCTAGTTCATGATATTGCAGTTGGTTTTTCATAGCCTTTTGGGGTGATTAACTGTTATTTCATTCATGAAATAAAGTATTGAGTACTTCAGTTATTCTCCTTGTCAAAACAAATCAATAGTGTTTCTATTCACAGGAGAGAAAATAGGAAATGACTGTTTCCTCTACTACAGCAATTGTTATTTCATAATATTGATAGACAAAAGGGTCTGTGGAACTGACATTTGCTGTTAAAATCTTAAAACTACTTTTCCAAGCAAGACCGTGGCCTGTGCAGATTTCTAAGATACACACATCTAATTTAGGAGATTGGTTGTACCAAATACTGCTTTTTTCTAATGCTTCTGACAGTACTTCTTTTCCCTTAATTGCATAAACTCTGAATGGAACCCAATGGAAATCATATTTCAGTATCTTTCATTGGACATTTCAGCCCAGAAATGCTGAAAGCCTTTTAAAACTGCACAGATCCTAGATGTACTTTCTTCTGTTTAAAATTCAGTAATGTGCTCCCGTTTGTTGCACGCATAAGATAGACAGTGACATGCAGAGCTTTACTGTTCCTTCTGAGATAACACACTACTGGGTCACTGCTCTTGGGCCAACAATCTTGAGGCTTTTTTTTTTTGCTGATCAGTCTTTATCTTGAAACAGTCCTACATGATAGAATAATAGCTTTTCTACTCCATTTAATATTGATTCCAAGTCTGGTGATTCAGGGGATTATTTTCTTTAATAAAGGAGAATCTCATAGACAAATACAGATTAGTATCCTGCTCTCCATTTATTTAGTTGTTTCCTATATTAATTATTTTCTCTTCCCTGTATCTATTTTTTTATTCCTGATAGAGTAGAATCTCAACTCTGTTAAATTCCATTGATACACACACCAAATCCACATTTTGTCTGCTAAACTGATCTTATACTTCACAATACTCCCTCAACCAGGACTGTCAGTGTGGACAGGATGAAAGAAAAAGTAGCAATCTGCACAGGTTTTGTTATTTTTGTTGGGTTTTTTTTGCAGATGGGGTCTCTGGAATTCAGATAGCCTAGCAGCATCTGAAGAACAATATTTGATTTGCCAATGCACTACAGTTTTGGCCAAAGAAAAATGAGCTGTCTCTCTGTACCAGAAAGGAAGCCAGAAGTTATTTTGCTGTGTTTGACCTTGAGAAAGCTTCTGAGCTCCTCTTCCTCTAGCTGCTTAAAACTGCAGTTAATTCCCAGATCTTTTATTCAGTTTTATTGCAGACTCTGTAGAGCATTAGGTTCATTTACACACTTTAGACTTTTGATTCTAAAAAAATTCTGGTACTTAAAACATCTATTTGTAACCTATTCTTATAAGGAAAATCTATCCTTGGTCACAATATGATTATTAAGACATCATTTGCACAGCCAGCGTGCCTTCGTTTTCCCTGATAAATTACCAGATTTATGATAGATTAAGAAGAAACAGAGAGAAGTGTGATTTCCATGTAACCTTTTTTCTGCAACCTCTGTTGGTAATTTTTACCTACTGCACACAACTTTCAGCTTCAACCCCCTGTATATAAAGTATATGTGTTCAGCATAAATCACAGAATCATAGAATGGCCGGGGCTGAAAAGGACCACAATGATCATCTAGTTTCAACCCCCTGCTATGTGCAAGGTCACCAATTCTGGCATCATTTTTTACCAATCTGTGATGCATTTTAAGAGATACTGAAGCTCCATTAATTCCTGCCACCAGCATCCACCAAAGGCTTGATCCTCCTGACTGAATTGAAATTGAGAGGAAGGACCGTGCCCAAAAAGATCTCAGCAGAATGTAGCAATAGGGGAAGCTTTAGAAAGCCTCTTATGCCACTGTAATATGCCTTTAACTCCAACTTAGTAGCTTCTTGACCAGAAGCCCATAGAGTTCCTCATCTGACTGGTAAGACAAGAAATGATTTCAATTACTCTGTGGATTGTTATACTGTAGGAACTGACTCAGTGCATATACTGAGGAGCTGTTAAGTGTCTGTATCTCACCCTGGACTAGAATTGAATCCATGATAGAGAAGCAAAAAATTGTGCTGTCCAAAAGACAGTTTGTGAGACCATTTCTTCTGGGACATACGGTTCAGCTTCAGACTGTACATTCACAAAATGAAATGCATTTAATATTCCTGACAGTGTCTTGTAAATCTTACAAAATGTATTTGATTGAGAAAACATTTATCTCCCATAAAGCTCATCAAAATAAGTGCTTTTTGTCTAAACTTCAGTATTACCTAAGGAAAGAAACACATAATATTTATACTTCTGCCTTCCTTCTCTCTGTCTCTCACATATACCCAAACAGTATAAATGTATATACAGTCACTTGAATTTTTGTTTTAACTGATAAGTACAGGACAGTGTCCCATGGATCAGAACATGCTGGTAAGAGTGAAACTCTTTATTCCAGATCTAATAGACTGTGATAACAGAAGAGAAGCATGTACTTTCTCCTACTAGATTTCACAGGAGACATTTCACTTTTTTTTCTATTCACATTTTTTTCTGTAACATGAGCCGCTTACACATTCTGATTTTTCATGAATATCTTTTCCCACTAGGCATTCAAGGCCAGGCTGGACGTGGCTCTGGGCAGCCTGGTCTGGTGGTTGGCAACCCTGCACACAGCAGGGGGGTTGAAATTACATGATCGTTCTGGTCCTTTTCAACCCTGGCCATTCTGTGATTCTATGATTCACTAGAAATATTGGAAGCTGCAGTAATGTAACATTTTTGCCATTTTGATCACATAAGAACAATACAATAAGTGCATAGCTATGAATTATTCAAATCTATGCATTAAAATACATTTATCTTTTTAAAACAAGTACGTGCTTAGCTATGGCTCTCTTCTCTAATTTTGTGGCAAAAGATGAAGCTGATTTAAAATGGACTGTTTGAAACAACGGTGTGCTTTTCAATGAATAATGCTGAAAAATGTTGTGGTGTAGACCACCTGACTATGGTTTCTTTTGGCTAATGACCCGAGGAATTTATACGCAGTGAAGATATACAGTGACTTTGGTTCATCTTTCTTAAGCATACTGCAATAATGCATGTATTTCACAGGCTTTGCTTAGACAGCTGACTTAGTCAAAATGATGTGAAGAAGGCTGAGTTTAGTCAAGAAAAACACAAAACATTAGGAAAAATGAGGGACTTAAAATAGAAAATAGTTTTAGCAAGAAAATGGATGATTCAGAAAAATTACAATGAGGTGAGAAGACTTCTATTTCTAGAGCAGTAGTTCAAATAAAGATGTAGTGTGGTAGTTTGTAAATCTTGTTTCCGTTTGATACCTGCTTGGTAACCTACATTGGTGAGCCACTTTGATATCTGCTGCCCTATGCACATATGGATGAATCCGTAACCTACATACATCCTTCACAGAGCAGTGAAGCACCAAATGCTCCTGGGTGCTGAACTATTTTCTGCTGCTTTCATTTATGTTTCCAGAAGGGACTTAGCCAACATGCACTTATTCTCTGTGAATGTATTGTTTTCAAATCAGGTGAATTAATGATTGTGGTCGCCATTCTTTTAGCATTATTAACAGAATTTCTCTATTCTAGTTTCTCTTGAAAATCCAGGCTTCTGAATTTCCTGCCTTTCCTCTTGAAGGAGCTACAAAAAGATAGGTTATATAGCAAAATCATTTTTCAAATGAAATTAGTAAGTTGAATTTTTTTTTAATGTAGCACTACCTTGGGAGTTAGTATTTGTAAAGGCATTTGTGTGTCATTAGGAGAATTCACCTGGTGAGTTCTAATACTACTGCTGCATTAAAAATTTCTTAGGTTGAACTTACTGAAGTCTAACACAAATTCACAAGCCACCTTTTTGTGAGTTTTCCATGCATTTTGGTGTGAAACATAGAATATTACTAAGAAAATGGAGTTCCTCTCTTCAAAGCATCCAGTAAAGCTATGCAGCTCATTCTTGGTTAGTCTGTGATAATAAGTGTTGCAATTAACAAAACGATTCCTTAGAAGCTGAACACAATGATAACAGCATGGTACGGTTTACTCACAGGATCTGAAGCCTTTTATTCTCCTTAATCCCTAAGCTCATTGTGTCCTAGCATTATGTACCCAAAAGTACATTTTTATAACATTCTCTGGGATGTTATCTGGCAGCCACTTGAGAGTCTACGTTAAATTTAGATTAGAAAGAAAGAGAAATGTTTCAAGTTGACTTCACAGAAAATCATTTAAAGAGAAAAATACAACTTTTTTTTTTCTTCAAGATGCGGAATGCCTCTTGTGCTCTGAGTAGTACTGAAGAGAATTGAGGCTTCTTAGCACTTGGTAAGGTCACTCCCAAATTTGAGTGCTTCAAGTGCAGCTTGGCCAGCACATTTCATTTCACTCTTGAATGCTTGTGCAAAGTAAAATGAGAATTTGACACAGAGAGTGTCCAGCAGGCACACGTTCCTCACCTTTCATGCACTTGTTGTCTCAGGTGGGACTCTTAGGAGAGAGAACAGTTTCTCCCCAGTCAGGAATAAACTTCAGCAGACATCATCAGGGGGAAGTTTTTCACTCAGAGGGTGGTGAGGCACTGGAACAGGTTGCCCAAGGAGGTTGTGGGTGCCCCATCCCTGCAGGCATTCAAGGCCAGGCTGGATGTGGCTCTGGCCAGCTTGGTCTGATGGTTGGCGACCCTGCACATAGCAGGGGGTTGGAACCAGATGGTCTTTGTGGTCCTTTTCAAACCAGGCCATTCTATGATTCTATGATTTTGTGATTCTATGATCATTTTTGCCTATGGATCTCTCATTCTCATTTCATGATAGAAAAGCAACATGAGTGATGTTTGACTTCAGTCTTCAACTCTTCATGTTCCTATTTCATTACTTGTATTAGTGTGATCCTTGTTGAAGGACACTGAAATCAGCACATAGGCAGAGCTAAAGGGATGTAAGACCATTACTAAAAGCAGTGAGAGAAGCAACCCAGTCTTCCATTGTACTGTTTCCTTTTAGTTTATTTATTTGTTCTTCTTTTCCAACAGCTCTGGTTTACACACAGGTGACAACGTTACAAAAACAGGACCTGGAGGCCTTCCAGACATGAGACAAGTGCCAACTGTTGTGATTGAATGCGATGACAATAAAGAAAATGTGCCTCATGAAGCTGACTATGAAGATTCTTCCTGTCTCTACCCAAGACAGGAAGAGGAGGAGGAGGAAGATGAAGATGAGGATAACTCGTTATTTACAAGTTAGATGCATTCCATTTTTCCTTTCTCATTTATTGAAGTTTTCCTCTGAAATCTCAATATACAAAGGAAACACACGGCCTATGAATTTTCTTTCTTGACCATGACTTTTGCTTTTCTCAGGGTTTGACTACATGGGGACATTTTGTAAATTAATTGAAAATAATGAGGAGTATGAATTTAAACTGATTACCCTAATCCATGTGAATCCCTGTGTGGGTAGTTCTCATACAGAATTCAAATGACCTTTTTTGTTTTATCATAGTTTACTTTCAAACTGACTTTCAGATTCACTATTCCAAGTGTCAGGAGTATAGAGAAGCACTGACTTTGGCTAAAGTCAGGATCATCTCAGCAGGGTTACCAAAGTGCCACAGATAGATAATCAGATCTTATGAGCACTGTCAGTATTAAATCACATCAGAATCAGAAGTTTGCACATGCTTTTAAAGGGATCATGATCAGAGAATAAAAGCCCTAAATGCAAACCAAAGAATAGAGGAAGTAGTCTTGAAATTTCTATAGAAGAAGATATGAATGAAAAGTGGGGAAGATCTTATTTTTCTTCCTAGCACACCTACTTAAAAAGCCTGTGGTGTGCAATTTAGATTGTGATGGTAGAGAGAGTTGTGCAAATGATTGGTATACAGATGCTCTGTTCTGCACAGGAATGCAGCATAGTTCTGCTTTCCACTCTGATGCATTTTACTTTGCAAACAATGTGAGAGTATGTGTGGGAGTAAGTTGGTTTGTGTTTAGATCCCAGTTTTTTTCTCTGTTCTGTTTTTGTTCTTTAGTTTTTTTAATCTATAAACCTGAACTCTTGACTTGATCTTACATAACTGAGAAAATGAATCTGATTTTACTATACAATGTTTTTGCATGAGGATAACTTCTGCTTTTTTGGAGTTATTTCATATTTGCATCATTGTTACTCAAACTGGGAATCAAATTTATATACCCATGCTTAGATAGTTATCTAACTGCTGTGGGCAGTTCTCTACTGGCTTACACTCTGTTGAGGTGCTTGTATCAGCACAAAATGAATATAAAATGCCACTGCTGGATTATGTGTGATTTTATTCCAATTTACTGTGCCAGTAGTGGCAAATTGGGCTCAGATATGAATGGGTTAATTGTATCGCAACTACAGCTTGGAGGGACTTTTGCCCCATTTCTGACCTCTCTGGGAAAAACAGCCGTGTTGGTGTGCCATCATAGGGCTCTCATGAAGATGAGATACCTTACTTTGTGTGTGACACAAAGGACGTCTTGCCATCCTGCAGTTTGAGCTGAAGCTTCAGGCCATTTAATTTTTTTTCTCCTGAAAACCAATAGCCATTAATCACACCATTTTTAAAGCGCACACAAGTTTCTAAAACAGGCATATTTCACCATCTCAGAATCTTACCTTACCTTGCAGGTGAAATCAGAGTCTGTTGCCTTAAATGAAGAAGCAAAGCAGAAGTGCATTTCTGCCATTCTCCTGACAAAGTCTATAACCTCTTAGGGGCTTGTGGTCTGCTTGTGCCTCTCTACCCTGCTCAGTCTGCTTTGGGTGCAAACCAAGGGAAGCAAGCTTGCACCATAAAAGACCACTGGTTTTCACACTGTCTGCCACTGTCACTGCCTGAGAAGCAGAATCAGCTAATGTACTTAAAGGTCTATTCCACTTCTCATAGATCTGATTTTTTTTTTAATGCTAACTTGGATGTCTTGGTGTTACACTGCAAGAGAGAGATGCCTCTCTCTTTCCACATGCTGTAGCTCTGCTGCCCTCTCAGAGGTTTAATTATTCATTCCATTATGAATTCTGAAACACTAAAGATGCTTCTAGAAATTATGAAACAAGCCTTTATTCTCTACTCCCTCTGCGAAGCAATATTCTTTTTCCTGTGTAACTACAAAATTCATCTTTTCTGTATTAGGGCATGAATTGAGGCTAACTGAAACCCAGGTGTTAATTGATGCCCTTTTTCCCACAATCCATAACATTGTAAATAAGAATGTAGCACCCTCCCTTGCCTGCCACTTCCTTGCCTGCTGTATGCTGGAATGAAATGATGACAGCTCCTTTGGCAGAGCCTCTCTTCTCTCTCACAGGTTCCCTGGCAATGAAAGTCTGCAGAAAGGACTCTTTAGCAATCAAACTCAGCAACAGGCCTTCCAAACGAGAGTTGGAGGAAAAGAACATCCTCCCTATGCAGACTGATGAAGAGAGACTCGAACTTAGGCAGCAGATTGGGACAAAGTTAACAAGGTAGGAGATTAATGTTTTTCTAGCTCTTGTTTTTGGAAATATGTGGTGGGACACACCTTTTTTTATATATTCTGCAAACATCTGAGATCTGTTTGTTCACAATATGCAAGAGGAAAAGCCATGGGAAAAAGAAAAAGGCTGTAAGAGTTAAAGCTGCTGTACTGTAACATTCCATACAGAGATTTCATTTTTCAGGTGTATAGTACAGGACCTTTGGTTATATAAGTACCTGCATGAACTACGTGGGTTTGGTTGTTTTCAATGCACTGTTGGGATAAGTTCAGCTTTGATAACATTTTGGATTGTAGCTCTAGGTGCCATTTAATATTGTAATATTTTGACCAAGGGACAGAGGCATATCTTTCTCAGTTGAGTCTCCATTGAGTAGGAGAGTCTTGTTTTGATCCAAAATACTTTCATCCTTCAGTATTTTTTGTTGTGTCAGGCTTGAACAGATTTACCTTCATACACTCTTTCCTCTTTATAACAGCATTTATTCACCAGCTGTTCTGTTTTTCTCTATTGTATGGAAAGTGGAGGGGTACCCATTAATGAAACATTTCCATCAAGGATTAGTAAAGCAAGGACAGGTAGGAATGTTTACGAACTTCCTGTGCTCCAGCCATAATTTCTGCAGTTGATCTAACACTGTTATGTTATCAGCTTGGTGGTATGTAGAGCCAGTGAGTGCTATTGGTTGCTTTCTGGTTTAACCAAGAAATCCACAAGGAAGACCAGCCAATTTTCTGTTGGCTTTTTTTCTACCTTTTTTTTTTTTTTTTAATGGAGTGGAGGAGCATCTTTTTTATTGCAGGGATGCAAGGACTCATTTATCCATTCTTTGGAATAAACTAACCACATTGTTCCAGTACATCTTTGAAAGTCTTTCTTTGTGCTGAATCACACTTAGCTTTCTCCAAACCCTGTCTAACTCTTCAGTATTTTTGTGAAGGGCTACAACACCAAAGATGGTGCTGCACTGTTGATGGGCATCAAAATTGTTCAGTCCAGTCTTTGTTCAGCTTAATACCTTGTTAAATGGATGTGAAGCTGATGGTCCAAAAGAGCAGTGCAGGATAACAAGGTCCCAGTCTTGGTCTTACGTAATTAATTTTGAACCTTTGAGGTGTGTGAGGAGTTGAAATTTTTATCTTTAGTGAATCTTGATCTGCATCACTTGACCCTACAGTGACATTAAACAGCATTTCTACTGTGCTGCCCATTTGCCTAGATTATTTGTGTTTCTTAAAATTTTTACTGCTCTGCCTAATGAAGGTAAACAGTGTAACTTGCAAATGTTGACTGCAGCTCACTGTGCTCCAGGTGATTGTTTATTATAAATATTTTATCCCTTATCTCTCCAAAGCATGCTTTTTTCAACATGAAGCATGTTTCTTTAGCATGTGTCTTTTTAACATGGGGAAGCTTATTTTGGCAATACCCAGAACCCTTCCTGTGTAAGCCACCTATTCTCACAATGTCATTGTTTTTTCCCCAAATTTGTACCATTATCTGTGCTTATTCAGAGTTTGAGGTATAATGCTTGAGTTTGTCTTGTAGCATGACTTAGAAGTAATCACATATGCTTCCAATAATTAAAACTGTGTATATACAAACAAAAAATAGCTGAGCCATTGCTGGTTCATTCTCATTTGTTACCTGTGTAATATCACTGAAATTGGTAGAATTTCACTAGCCTTTTCTGAAAAAATATACTTTTCACTCTGACCTTTCAATGACAAGTATTAACCATTCAGTGTCTCATCCTTTTGAATAATCAAGAAGTATGAGGAGAAAACCGCTTTCTTCATCTCTAATATGCAAAAAACCACAGATGTTTCAGCATCAAAAAGAAGGGTACATGTCTTAACAGAGCCTTATATCTAAATGTGATGTATTGATGTATACAGGCTGACAAATATTAGATTGAAAGAGAGGGAATATTTCAATTTGGACAATATTTCTTTACGTCCAGACTTCATTATTCCATCTGTCTTTTGCCATTGCTTAGTAATTGTCCCACAGTAATGCAAATGCCAAGCAAAATCAAAGAGGCGAAGCATTTATAGTCTTTAGAGAAGATGTGAGATGCAGAATATAATTGCAGATGGCAATTTTGGATTTCAGAGGGATTTGTGCTATTCTACCAATGGTCCTCTATGGTTTAAAATAACCAGCCAATGAAATTACATATGCTACTTACAGAAGTAAAAAATGCAGAATAAAAACTTCAGCAAATAGTTATTGTTGTCTGTAATGGATCAAATAATTTTCAGCAAGAGGGTGATTAGGATACTTCAGTATTTATGCATAATCCTCACAGTATTTAGTTTAGAAGAGCTCATTAGCTGTACCATTTGCCAAATCAAAATTTAGTACTATAAAGAGAGTGTTATTTTAAAAGCTTATAGACTGGCATATTGAGAGATTGACCATTGGCATACTGCATTGGTCCAAAATCATCCCAAGTATAGTCCAGCCTTGTTAGAGTAGCACCAAGAACCAACTTGGCTCAGAGCTTTTTGATCATATCTTATTTAAAAGTAGCAGAAAGTAGCAGTAGCTGCAGAAAAAAATTGTGATTTTATTATTGCATCTGCCAGCTGGTAGAGAGACTCCTGAGCTGGCTTAACCACGTAGCTGTTTCCCAATTTAGGAAAATAGTGTCTGGGCTTATATTGGACCAGTTGCAAGGATGAGGCTGCAGAGGCTATATCTTACAGCAGAATATGGCCCACTGCACATCTGAGTATTAGCTTAGTCATGAGACAAATTTGAACTGTTGTGGCCTACTGGACTTACACTTCATTTGTGGCGCAGAGTTTGGTTGGAGGTCTGTAACTAGTGGTGTTCTCCAGGGATCAGTGCTAGATCCAGTCTTATTCAATATCTTCATCAGTGACCTGGATGCTGATGATACAAAGCTGGGAGGAGTGGCTGACACACCAGAAGACTGTGCTGCCGTTCAGCAAGACCTGGACAGACCGAGGACCTGGGTGTCCTCATGGATTACAGGTTGGCCATGAGCCAGCAGTGTGCCCTTGTGGCCATGAAGGCCAATGGTATCCTGGGGTGCATTAAAGAGCGTGGCCAGTGGATCGAGGGAGGTGATCCTCCTCTTCTACTCTGCCCTGATGAACCTCATCTGGAGTACTGTGTCCAGTTCTGGTTCCCCTGTTCAAAAAGGACAGGGATCTCTGAGAAAGAGTCCAGCAGAGGCTGACAAAGATGATCAGTGGCCTGGAGCATCTCCCGTAGGAGGAAAGGCTGGGAGACCTGGGACTCTTCAGTCTGTAGAAGAGAAGGCTGAGAAGAGACCTCGTAACTGTTTATAAGTATCTAAAGTGCAAGAGTCAAGTTGATGGGGTGCAGTGTGCAGCAATAGAACAAAAGGCAACGGACAGAAACTGTAACACAGGAAGTTCTGTACTAACACAAGGAAGAAGTTGTTTATGCCAGAGTGACAGAGCTCTGGGACAGGCTGCCCAGAGAGGTTATGGAGTCTCTTTCTCTGGAGATATTCAAGACCCATCTGGACACCTAACTGTGTGACCTACTGTAGGGAACCTGCTTTAGCAGGGGGTTGGTCTTGATGGTCTCTAAAGGACCATTCCAACCTCTACAATTCTGTGATTCTATGATTCATGTGAATGTATTGCTTCACTGATGTATATCCTGTTTCAAGGCTCAGCAAAGGCAGGCCCAAGCAAAAACTGATCTTATTGCAAAACATGCCTGTGCCATAGACTGTTTTCTGGCAGTCCTTATTCAGCAATTGCAGCAACTCATTAGAAGACCTTCTCTTCTAAACAAACCAGAATAGATTCCTCCAAAATGTGACACTTAACTATGCAACCAGAAGCAAACATAGTGAATTAAGATGCAGAACAACATGATTTGGGGATAAGAAGCGGATGCTAAAGACCATGTTCTTGGCTGCTAAAAACCCTTATAGTTCCATTAACTTCTATTCTGAAATGCAGACCATCTGCACAAATAAATCTTTAAGTGGGTATAGTTTACTTTTTGCTCTGCCTGCTGAGGTTCTCCCAGTCTCCTCCTCCATTTCATCCTCTGGTGCTTGCATATCTTCACAAGCTGCACAAGAAGTGCATATAAGTGGCCGTAAGCTAGAAGGAAAAACAGAAGGTAAAACAAGGCCCTGAATATTAGCAAGCAGAGGGAGAAGTCCGATTTCTGCCTTTTGACTGTCGTTCTGGTTGTCTAACATTCAGAGAAGCACTGGTTCCCCAGTCATTCAGGTTAGAGCAGGTTGGAGGGACTGAACTTTGCTTTCAGTGGAAATCAGTGAAAGTATGTATTTCTGGGCTATGATTGCAAAATCAGGATACAGATAGGAACTGGAACTGATTTGGAGGCACTGTTGGTACAATGACAAAGTCACAGCCTGTCAGGAGCCTCTGGCAAGGAGGAGGTCCACCACTGATAGGCAGTGCACAGCAGTGCTGCACGTCTCCAGTGATTGTATGACTATCCCCTTCCACCAAGACAAGTGTTCCAGTCTGCATTTCTTTCTTCCCGAGAAATCACAGTGGTGATTTTAAGAGATCACACAAGCTTCTTCTGTTGACGTATTATTTAGTAAGCACAAAAGCCCTTTAGAGAAAATGTGTCTATATATTTCTTTATAGTTATACACTGCTCCAAAATTTTCTGAGGACTCTGTGCTCCCTTGATCTGGTAAGACCAGATCTTTGCATGTCTTTCACAACGCCTCTGCCATACCTTGAGACATGTTTCTTTAGACTATGGGCAATCTGTCATTCATCCTATAAGGGAAGCTGTCTAAAGCACAGTCTCTTAACCCTCAAGTGTAGAAAAGAGGCTCATCAGCAGTTAGATACAAGAGTCTCGAAGCTGAGATTTTGGTCCACTGCTTTTAAAGAATGCATGGCATTGTCTTTATCTGCTCTCACTGAATTGCTTCCCTCATGGCTTTTCAAACCTCCTGGAATAAGGTCAAACAATTATACAAAAAA